GTAACCGTTTATCCAACCACGTCATCAAGTTTTAAATAATTTATTCCTATTACCTCGAAAGCTACAGTCAGATAGTCTACACCTGGCTACGTCGATCAGATCTACAGTCAAAATCTTCAAACACATCCCACTAACCTTCTTCCAACAAAACCCGACTTCGCCTGACGTTCCACATCGAGGAAGGTGGTGGCTCTGCATGCGCAACACACGTCCGAGCTACCTCAGTCGGTGAAAGTTCATCACCTCATCATTCAAGATGAAAGTCGAAATGCACTCAGCAATCACGTGGAATAGGTAATGAACCACATCTATTGTTTAAGGGTTAAGGATACTACATGTCTGCCAAAACCTCAGCATGTGGAGCAGTGTTCGAAACAGTGACTGAGTGGTCGGAAGTCAACTCCCCAACCAGTGGGCCACAGCTCCACTACCTCGTTGATTGACTTGTCTGGAATGCCTTCACAAAACCTAACCACTGCTCACATGGTAATTCCACCACACGTGAGCAATACTATAAAGAAACCTGTTATCACAAACCCGTGAAGTCTTCATGTCTACTACTTCCAACAGCGATTTCTCACAAATATATAATAGGAGAGAGCGGTAGAAAATAACCTAATACTCACGATTTTAGCTACATGAGTAAAACTCTCAGTGTTTGATATAACACTGCTCAGAATTTTGGACACAAACTCCAATCACCTTTAAGACTAACTAACAAGTTATATGCAATTTCAAAAGCCCCAAACTGACGGTAAACTGCTCAAAACGAGAGTAATAAGCAGTGAAATAAAGAAAGACTTTTAAAGTGAATCCGTTGCACCAGTAATTTTAAACTCTATTAGTGAAAAGGTATTTCATTTATCGTCACTGAAGATGGAAGTAACTGCACTGCGAATAGTATGACAACTGAACACAGAAATAATCTATTAGTTCGAGATTAGTAGAAGTTGGGTAGTAATTCCATTTCAGTTGGTTTATCAAGCACAATAAATTGAAACAGAATAATTTACTGGATGTTTGGAGCAGAAACTATCGCTTATAGTTATAACAATATGATAACACTACTTTCCTATCCAACTTTTACAGGTTTACTAGACTGAGGCCGAAACTTTTCCAAAGGGTATAAAGGTACCATCAAAATAATCATGATCACTTGGCAAACTCGGTATCCAAGTTAGTTCTCAGTAGATTTAGAGAAGCACAACGTATTGGAACAAAGACATTACAGTGAAGAATAATTTATCGTCCATGATTTCATTTATTAAAGCCGTAAAATTGTATGTAAAGTCATTGGAAACTAATAATGGTCTCTTGATAATCAACAGCGTCACGTGACTAGGATAGTTGTTTGTAACGTCAAAATGAAACTACTACTCCGGTAATGATAAGGTTGGGTGCACGAATTGTTTTTGAATACAAAGATGAAGTTAAGGTTGTGAATTGCCAATGATTTGACTATATAGAGATGATATTCAAAATCCTTTGTAACTGAAGGAAGGTGCTCTGTAAATTACTCTAGAGGAACTTCGAGGAGAGACCAGATATCCACAATTGACGAGGTGTTAAAGAATAGAACTGTTAGAATTCCTTGTCCTCTTTGGATAACCATGATGCAAATTTTTTCAAAATAGGCTTGCAGACTTAACGTTGTGTAAGTCCCTACTACATCTTCTATGACTTCAATTGAGGATTTTCCGTTCGTTAAAATAAACTAAACTTATCTTTAAGACACACTTCTTGCTTTGTTCAGCTCTGATTCACGATTATAGTGAAGATATTATGACTTGATAAAAAAACAATGTCTGTTCCTTGGACCAGTCAGGTAGTCACTGACTTTACACAGTATTGTATAGACACACAAACGACTGACAATATTTATCGAGATGCTTTGGGATATTGTGTAATACGACGATCAAGGACATTCATATGAGCTATTGAATCTACGAAAGGTAATAAGATTGTGGTGAGGTGACGACAGCTACGTGTGTCCGTTTCAGTAAAAGTTAGTGATAACATTCACTTCGGAAAATGATCTACTGGCGATTACACGGTTCCCCTTCTTATACGTGTTGCGCGTGCGGACCAACCGCCTATTTCAACATGCAATGCAGGGAGTTCGATTAGTTTGGGCTGACCAAGACGTGACACCAACCCATGAGGTCTCTGACCGTTGATCTGAGCCCTGTAGGGAGATGCAGACTACCTGCCTGGAGTCCCTAGGACAAAAAAAACTGTGATTAAGTACTTCTGGTGATATGGCTGAGAACCTGTCACAATAGTGCAGATGTATTTACTGCTTGACATGTTCTAAACCTTGAATATTTGCACCGACCGTTATCTTCAGATTGCTTATTCTCTCATACTTTGATATCAGTCCTTTTCTATCCACCTGTTGTTTGTATAGTCCTATGGTGTGGCAACTTGACCTGATGTCCTTGAGCGTGAGGTTCCACGTTGATTTTGTTTGGTTATGCAGACAGGATAATTTTATTAGGCGAGGACGTAAACAAGGTATACATTTTTGAATGAACCACGCAAAAAAGAAAGTTTTTGTAGTGTTACGCATCTTTGGAAAGGACTGACTTGTACCAACATCTAGTTTAAAGAGAAATGAAGTACATATGGTAGATATGATACGAAGGTTTTGAATACTTATTACGTTGCATTGGCTTTAACGCGTAAATTATTAACGAAATCTCGTTTAACATTGATCTACCTACACTAACGGCAAGTTATTCGACTCTGTTAAGTAGCCACTGTTATGTACAGTATTCCAACCTGTGGTACTAGATAATTTGAAACAGGATGCATAGTGATTTTATAGCTTTCCGATTTCAATCTATTGCGATACTTTTATCTGATAGGGTGAGGAAGAAACATCACGTTGGCAACGTGGTTTGATGCGAATAACCTTCTCAAATGACTGTCTGAAATCCGGAGCATGAACTGCAGGCCCTTGCAGAGAAAAGTGGACCACTTAGAGTCTCTTCTGACCTCCAAAGTGAACCGCAATTACATTACGAGAAACTTGGTTGCGTAACAATTCGGTTTCGCTCAATGGTTTCATATTTTTCCGTCAGCTCCGAAGTAGCTTTATTAAGGAATATGGAGGTGGTGTAGTTAGCTCCATTAATACCCACTTGTGCATTTCGAGCTACCTGCTTCAAATGGTTACATAGACTGCAAGGTGCCAAGCGAGACATCTGGACAAATATCGCTGGTTAACGTGTTCGCCGTGAAGCCTGAAAGTCCAAAGTTCGATCCCAAGACGGGTCGCGGGTGCGTACTGCTGAGGAGTTCCATACTAGGACGAAACAGCTGTCCAGTGCCCCCAGATTTTCAATGGTTCCCCAAGTGATGTCAGTCCATGATGAATACTACCTCTAAATATCGCTTTGTTTATATCGCAAATATACATAGGAGGTCTAGCTGCAGTTACTCCAAATATTTAGTTCCTCTGATTTAAACACAGAATTCAGTCCCTATATTCTATCGTTCCCTGTTGATAATATGTAGTAATTTTAATTCTTATGGCCACAGCTTTCGCACAGTTCTTAATCGTCAAAACCCTGCTAACTTCACAACACACCAGAATGCAACACGACTTGGTATTCGTCAATGAAACTTGCAAGACCAGGAGCAAGTATATAAGACTTTAAACCTAATTTAGCTCCTATTTTGTGAGAGGACGAAAGTAATAGGAATGAACTAACTAACCCACTTTTGTTTTTTAAAGCAAGCGAATTAAAGATTATACAGTTTGCTGTTATTTAAGTATTATGAATCTAATTGTAAATGTGGCTGCACACCTAAGTTAACACTGCATTTTCAAGAAAGTTGTAGATGGAATAAATATTCTTATGTTTTATATGTAATTCCTACTTATTTCATTTTATTACGTTTACATGTAAACTGTTTCTGTCCGAATGACGGTATATGATATGCTGAAAATCCTGTACAATATTCAAGAAATATCTTTCAGAATAAAGCCATTAATATGATTAAAAGAAGTCGGTTATGCGCAATGGAACAGCAGAATGAACAATAGTGTTGTTAAGAGTTCAATCCAAGTGAGGTGAGTCGGTAGACAAGGTTGAATCCTTTTGATAGGTTTCGCATGCCCGACCACTGTCCACAACATTGCACGATAAGTAAAGCAGTATTGTCTCCAAGGTAAGGTCAGGACCGCGGCACTATGATAAACGAAACATTAAATGGCTGGTTCTTCACCTGTGTCATTCAGGCTATCAAGTAAAAGTTCTTAAAATATTAGGAATCCGTGTTCAGTAACATGACTAAGAGCCGACTGCAATGACGCAGCTGAATACATTCCTTATCCGTTTGGAAATTCTACATGAACTTGTGGATAACCGATTTCACTTTAAAAACCACGTAATTTGAGTTATATTCATTACCCTAGTCCTCAAGATCTTTTCGTTTCAAATTTTTTATATTATTTTGAAGTCAATGAAGTGGTTTGTCAATAATACTTGCGACATGCAGGTTAATATGAATGCACAGAGATCACATATCGTTCTTGATTGGTGCTTCTGGGTGCTACATAGTGCATACAATCCATCGACACTTGCCCTAATCACATCAGTAATATGTACGTAAGGAAACTAATCAATAAAGGTGAGCAATTACTAGAACATAAAACGACAAACAAGAATGAATGCTTTATACAGGAATATGACATTGATACATGAACGACAACCAGAAGATACTGCGTAATCATTATCAATAAAACGGAGTAGTTCTTGAAATATTATTGCCTAGTAGTTTAAGAAAACATCAAACATGCATAAACATGAGATGCAAATCATATAGAAACATGATCTATGAGTCAGTATCCTGATAATAAACGAAAGATCGAATTAATAAAAACAATGCTGGAAGAAAATGGAGGGAGGGGAGATCACATGGAAATGTTTACACACCGACTGCTAAAATTATTGTTAAAATCAGCCGGTTTTGGTAGCAAAACGAATGGATGATTACAAAGGGTTGAAACCGAGGAAAACAGCATAGAGACACCAGATAATAATTGGAATCACTGCCTCATGAAGCGGATTATGACCCTTTTGCACAGACCGGACCACAGCTTTTTGTGTTTCATCCAATAAAAGTACGGGTATAGAGATCTTCACCACAGCAGCCCATTCGACGACATTCAGTGCAGCTATCTGGAATATATTCTGAAACGCAAATGCGAACCTTGAATTAAACCTTAGATAAGCTGCATTGAAACAAAAATTTAATCATGTTAATAAGTGAGTACTGAGTCGCCAATAGAAATATTACGTGAACATGATCAAAATACGTTTAACGCAGAAACTGAAACAAACCATGGTAGGTGATGTGATGCGCATCAAAAAGGATTCGATATGCATCATATATATTAAATCACAGTTCGAGAAATAAAACCAGGATGACTGAACAAAACTTTGCAGCTAGATGATCTTCACTAAATGCTCCCTGATTACGTGTTGGAAGCTAGTGACTCTTAGTGACATATATATAGAAACAGAGCATTTCGTCCTGCACTACGATCTGTCGGTTTAAGTTTTTCTCGTTGAAATCTGGAAACTGAAGAATGCTTGACGACTGGTCCTTGAATTCTAGGGGACGGCATTTCGAAACACAAATAATACAATTTGTAGCGATCACTACGCGATTCTATTAAAGAATTCCGTGTTAACTAAAGCAAATACCATAGAGGGTTTTATTCAGAAAGGTAATCGTAATGGGATAAAAACCACGAAGTATGATCAACTTTAAAGCACAACAGAAATCGAAACTTTCGCTTTCTAAAACGTGGAATTAGAAAACTTACGGCTAGCACGTTAATGTACAAGATAGCGAAGTGTAGCGCCATACTAAAGCAGATTGCCGCTATAAGCCACATATTGTGCCATGGAGGCATAACAAGCAATGACTGATTTTCGGAAAGACTACGAAAACAATAAAATGAATTAATAAATAATTATCCAGAGTAAAACAACCACGTCTATCAGTTAAAATAATAACCAAAACAGCGTAAACGGGTAGACGAGTCTCTTTCTTTCTTTTCTATTTCATTGGAAGATCAACTTTTCGTGAAACACTGTAAAAGTGATCAATTTGGCAAAAATGTTTTTCAGTATTTGGTGTTTTGATGAATAAATAGAAGAATCCATTCCAAAACATTTTTGGCTGTGAAATCTCATGATTCCCTTAAAGTATATTCCCATGTTGCCCTACTGGTGAGACGCGGAGCTAGAAAAGGTCGACTCCAAAGATAGTACACTTCTCGCCCCACGGTCATTCATTGTCGGAATTATGGACTCTCCATCCGGTCTCATACAAACAACCCGCAAACAGCTGTATGATAGACCTGAAGCCGATGCTTCATGGGCTCTTCCATTACACGAGTCGTTTTTTTTCAGGTACCCTAAAAAATAACCTTCCATGGTGTAGGCAGCAGGGAAGTGTCATCCGCCTGCAAGCTCCCAGTAGTACACAAGAGCCAATCAAACATAATTTATGCGCCTCAACTCTGTCTCCTCCTTTACCTTCACCTCTTGAAACCATTATCAAGTCTCTTGAAATTTCCTCAACCCCTCACTTAGTTACTATTGTCGACCATCCAAGTTATGGAAACACCATTCCTAGGCTTCCAAGACCCCGCCATCGACTTTACATTAGGGCTTACGGGAGTGGATAAGTTCCTGGTTGTTGATCTGAGTTGTGTAGGGAGGTGTAGAGTACTTGTATGCCACAGCTCCACTACACACGATAAGTATTACAATTTTTTATATTTTATAAAGTCATTTTTAATCGAGATCAAATCACTGCTTAAATTGGTAGCTTAAGAACAAAACCGTTAGCTTCCACTTTGACGTGCTGATCGACAGCTTATTTGTCCCAATAGTTCAGGGAGCTACACTGACTGAAATAATAATTCTTTTACAACCTACCGTGCTATTAAAATTGGTTGGATAGTGGTAAGACTTAAAACAGTCGTTATCATAGTGCAAATAACGTAAGCTATGTTGGAGGTCTAAGGGTGAATTTGTACAGGTGACTCCATGGAATGTGAAAGCGCAAGTCGCTTTCCATGGATAATCAACATCCTACGCTGATGCTACCTTCACCCACCTGAAGGAGTTATGAAAGGTCGATTTAGGAGACCGAACGTTACTTTTATCATGGTCGCCGGTGGTGACAGTATAAGTTTCTGTCATCCAAACCTAAAACTCCAAGATTGTGATCAACATCAAACTAATTCATCTCCTACAGGCACTCCATGAATATATCGACTCTTACGCTGTCAGAAGCAACAACTACCCACTTCTAACTGTCAACAGTATAAAAAAGACCTAAATGCAACCACCTTACCTAATTGTTTCCTACGATGACAAGAACGCCTGCTCATGTCACCAATTGAAGTCCCTAACAGTTTCACTAACTTCTTACTTTGTGACGATTACCAACGATCAAAACTAGCTAACCACCACTTCAAGTCTCCTAAAATTACGACGCTAATTTCAAATTGGAGCTTTCAACATCTGAACACTGCATCAAAAGAACTCACTTTCAAAACACTGGTGATCGTCAACTACAATTTTGTTCTGACAACCATTTGCTTTTGCGTAGCACCAACTTTAAACATAAGGTATTTACTCTGGTATCCGCAAACATCAGGACAAGGGTGAACCCCAATAGTTTGCGCCATTGTAAATTACAGTTAAAGAGAATCAGCAGAGCGTTGCCACTCCTTTTGGAGTACCTACTTGAAATCGGGTTACACGTAAATATGGACACGTAATCACTATTTTACTATCACTTTTTATTCCCCTTATTTTTCGTTTACTGATTTGAAGAGTGGCAACTTCAACCGATGCTCTACTCTGCATGGTTATGATCTGCGACTAGGTACCAAATACGAACAATATCCCACAACTGAACGTACATACAGCAACGAAATTTAGAACGCCATATATTTGAATCCCAGGGAATAGTTAGTAAGAAGAAACACAAAACAAAAACAAACTGAAGGTGCTCACTAGTGCTCCTAACCAATGATGCATATGGCAAACGCTTAGATGTATATGCGATTTGCTGAGGTGACCTTGTAGACCAACCAGTCACTCGCTATGCAACTTTCGGAGCTGAATTCAGAATTCCGCTGACATCCGAACTTTCTACAACAGTACATTAAAAACATTACGTTTTACGGTCTTAACGGATAGAATATTTGAAAGATATTTGTATGTCTTAGCAATCTTTTTGTTTATGAATAACAGACTTCACTTTATCTGCATGTTTCCACGAATGGTACGGCAACTATTTGGCATTTCAACGTAGTCAGAAAAAAACGCAACCAAGATATTTGCATTCTCCTTTTAGTTACTGTCACTCTAATAAGCAATTTGAATAATACATGGAAAAATTATTTGCCCACGTATGGTGAAGTACTCAACGGATGGGTTTCCCTGTTTAAGTGTACAGGAAAACGTGAAGCGCTTATAAAACGCTATATCCCAAAAGCATAACCAAATAAAAGATAGGGATCAACAAAAACAATTACCTGTTTAGTGCGTTGAACATTTCAATCAGAACTAATACTGATAAAGCCATTGTCATTGGTTTAGGACTGGAAAACACGCTGCAATAACTCCTTGAAACAGTGAAGGTTCCAAAGGACATTGTAAATGATGCGTCTACAACAAAAGAAGTATATTAATGTTACCAAAATCCATGTGCTCTATTGGTAAAAGAAAACTACTACTTCAAAACTGCATTACTAGTTTTTGTGCAAACGAACCTGTATGGTTTCAAGTGGCTTTTAGTGAAATAACCCTACCATCCTTAGCGGGTGGGCACTGCTGGGTTCCAAATTAGGACGCAATAGCTGTTCAGTGCTCCTAGATCTGTTTCGGTTCTCCGAGTGACTTCAGCTCTTAGTGAAAGACTATTTTAAATCCAATTAGTCATATACACACTGTACATTTCTATTCTGCAGAACTATGCTTAGAATAACTGCTATAACGGTTAACTTAGATGTTTGCATCACAATTTTGGTCATTTGGTTTCCAAGTATTGTTCTGTCAACTCGACAAAATGCTCACCACCATATAGCTTCGAAAAATAATGTTATTCTTTATAACGATACCATTGTGGCCCTGGTTTCACTGATATGTTACTTGTTGAAAACTGACTGAAAACGATAAGTGAAGTTTACGATACCGTATACTACTATATCAAGCAATAAAATAATGCAACTAAACCTGGTACATAATTATTCATTGGGTTAAAAGCTATATTTATTGTATGGTAGTATACAGTTGACCAGGCCAAGATAAGTGAAGCGAGGTTCAAAACCTGGGCTAATTGCTTTGAGAGTTCGATGTTCAGGTCAATGAGATACATTTCTCATATGCAGAAACAATATGTTGAAGTACTTCATATAACGAAATAGCTTTAGCAAGTTAACTTTCCATAAAACGTTTGTAAAACTATTCAGCACATAAAACCTTAGAGGTATTAAAAATATGGGCTAAATTTAATGAAATTTTAACTTCAAAAACCAACTTTTAACAAGCTTTATAAAAGTTTGGATTGATATATACCGCACTGAAAACCTATGGTCTAGAAATAACTACTTTTTAAATAAGACAAAATTTCATATGGAGCATCCAAAAACACTCAGTTTTTGACATTCGACTGTCAGACTATTCAAAGGTTAAAGTTATGCTTGGTACACTAAATTACGCAGTTAATTGTCACTGGTTCGAAAAAGTGGGAATTCATCTTAGCAGAGTGAGTTGAATGATATCACTATTTTACATAAAATAGCAGTGGTTCAAAGATTAATGCATGAAAGTGAATGAAGTTGTCCAACTACACACTTTACTAACCTACTTTCTCTTAAATTTACCAAGTTAAGAAAAAATTAGTCAGAAAGCAACAGCTCTTCAAACAGGAAGATAACGTTTTATGATAAACAAAATGATAAGCTTTGAGAAATTACCACTGGACATTATCTCCTCAACAAATAAGACGTAATCATCGCAGTATAAGCAGTGTGAAAGGCTAAAGAGTTGTATCCTGCTACAAAAATTCTTGCCAATATAAAATAATCGTAAAAGTAGTTGGTTCCCTCTTTGCTAGTTATTATGTGAGTCTGGTGAGATAGTGTACAGCTGCCGATCAGCATTTAGCTTGTGCTTAGTAATTTCGGCCACTACTTGCGAATTAATAAACTGGAAATATGTTTTCAAAAGATTCTAGATCGAAGCACTCCAGCTCCCAATAATTCGCAAACATAGCAGTATACAAAACTTTACGTTCTTTACTGGAGCTAAAATTAAATACATACTTCCAAAGCTAACATACTAATCCGATCAGATAATTTCAGATGCGCTGCCTAGCATGCTGTTTAAAACATTAAACCTCGTACGAAAGTGATAGAACTACATCGTAACTTTAAAAGAGGAAAGGGAGAATATCGAGTTCCCTGAAGCAACTAAACACAAGAGGAGAGTATACATGAACAGAGAACAAATGAATACACAGCATCTTTATCTGGAATATGCCTTAGGCCTAAACTGACATTCAGTGCTGTAACTAACTGTCTGACTACAGAACATCACTAGGAAAACAATCCAGCCAAGTTTCTTCCCAATCCAAATCAACTAGTATTATATAGGTTAGTGATCATACAATGCTGTGTACTGTTTTTACAAGTAAACCGGAGTATTATTAGGTGAGGATAAAGAGCATAATGTGTAAGTAACAATACGCAGAACCCTGCCCAGTACTATATGGAGGTATTATAGTAACCGTCTTTCGCTTCAGTTTGCCCAACAATGACCAGGTGATAAATGTATACAATAAGGGTTCCTTTACACAAGAATAACGCATGACATATGAGAAACAGTCAAATATTGCTTACTAGTTGATAGTAGTTCACTTTAGGACCACCTTCATAAAACATGAACCACCAGGCTGCTGCGCCGACAGTAGCGCATCCAACGTAGATCCCAATTAACATGTAGCGGAAGAACAGCCATCCAGAAATTAATGGTTCTTTGCTTTTACGAGGTGGTTTTTGCATGATGTCAACGTCGGGGGGATTAAAGCCCAAAGCTGTAGCAGGTAACCCATCAGTTACCAAATTAACCCAAAGCAGTTGTACTGGAATTAAAGCTTCTGGCATTCCGAGAGCGGCCGTCAAGAAGATACAAACAACTATAGAAGAAAACAATTGTGGAAAAATTTAAAATGTAAAATTTAACATAAAATTACTAGTCACAATTTTTCTACTATAAATACACTAGATTTGTTTTGTTAAGCAGTTTTAACATTTATTTATCAAATTAAATGTGTAAACATAATGAAGACAGTCAAAGAGAGAATATCAAAAGATATTCGCTAGTTTACTATGTCCGCTGCTCATTCAGTGCGAAACAGCAGCATGTACCTGGATAAATGATACTGCGTACACGTCGAGTTTATCGTTACTTCCAGTAATATTCGCTGTACATCATCTTCAACAGCTGCAAGACGCAAGAATGTGGAATAGCAGACACCAGGAAATCAGAAGAGATTACGGTGGTTTTTAACATGAGCCCGATACCATTAGCATTCAACGTAAACACTAAAAAACAGCATTCAGGTTTGTTAATACAATTACAGAGGTATAGAAACAACTTAGTATAAGATCATAACCAAAAAATTTCGGTCCACTAATATATCATGAAGGATATAAGTCACCGGTCCTTTCGCTATCAGATAGAGAAATCGCCACTACGCATACTCATCATAGAGAATATATGATCTGTAGTAGCAAACTGAGTAATCATCAACATAACGATTGGGGCTTTAAATCATCACCATGTGTCAATTAGAACCAAAGAGAGATCCGATTTTACTATTTGCTTTTTCTTTCACAGTAAGATTCGAGACGAACAAGGTTAAGTGAATTCTCTCTTAGCTGCATTAGGATCTAAACAATATGACACTTCTACCTAATGGTCCATTTCAGTTGATTAATTAGATGCATCACGCCCGGGAAACAAGGTGATTTGCTGCATTACGTTTCAGGCGCAATTTATTATCCGTAGCCATGTCACCTTAACTTCACAAAATGTGAGACAGTTTATGAAGTTCATTGTTGCAATGAAAGGTACCAAAAGATGCTTCGGATACAGGAGTTACAATGGGTCTAAAAACTGTTACGCATTATATAACTAAAACAGATAATCAGTTTTAATTTCTCTTAGACAATTTTACGAATCTTAGAGTAAAAAACTACCCTCAATTAACTTCGCCACGTTAATCTACATTGAAATGATATACCATAAAGGTGGACAGATAAACGTGTTGCTGTTGTTACTTTCTTTGGCTAGTAATGATTAATACTGATGTTTCCTAAAATTACAAGAGCAAACAAGATCAGGTTAGAAAAAGTGTGCTAACTCAGCTGGGGATTCATGAGATTGTTTATTGGGAAGCTACACTGAGTCTCGGTACAACAGAAAAACTTTTCAGTGAGCGCACTACACACAAATAGACTCTGCACTTTACATTCAAGATGAGTCGGTCTTCAAATTCTGTGGATTTTTCGTTTAAGTTCTTCATTTTCTTCTAACGTTTCTCGTTTCCTTTTTCAGAACCGCTATAGCTTGGATGATAACTCCACTTTCTTTTCCACGTGTTTAAAAGAATAGCAAACACAATAGCTCTATCTTCACAAGATGTAACAACAAATAGACAGAATAAAAAATAGTGGTTTTCTCTTCAGAACAATGATACTGAGAAAAATCGATATCCTGTTTTAGATCAGATTTCATTCGAAATGATATTTGATGCAAAAATCTTCGATTACGTGAAAGTAGAAGGATATTTGTATGTTAACATTGAATGTGCTGACTTATCAACGTGGAAATGATTATCAGCTTACCTTCACCGATATTTGATGAAATTAAATAACGAATGAACTGCTTCATATTATCATAAATAGCACGGCCTTCTTCAACTGCTGCAACAATTGTGCTGAAGTTATCATCAGCTAAAACCATGTCAGAAGCAGATTTAGCTACAGCTGTACCACCCCCCATTGCGATCCCGATTTCAGCCTTCTTCAAAGCAGGGGCATCATTAACACCATCTCCAGTCTATAGAACAAAACATGAAGAAAAAAAATTAATACCAGTAGACGACATAAACTTACATTGTTACTAATATATAATATGGTGTTGACCACGAATTATGTAACACGTAACCATTTTCGTATATGGAACAAAAATGTAGGGGTTAAGTTCAATCTGCCTAAGCTGATTTCAGAAAACATTCCAAGTTATTTTATAAACTAAGCAAGCTTAGTTTAAGAAGATCAACAAAACATGCGTATATTGACATATCACTACCAACTACTGGTGTTGTTGTCTCATTCAGTTGATCATACAACACCATGACTGTACTAAACAGTGACCATTTGAATTCACAGCATCCAATATGATAGACACTTTGTACTGCTTACTTTTCTGATCACATGTATTCATTTTACAAGTTCCTAAAGTTAAATAGGAAAGTGTTATGCTGCACGAACAAACAGATTAATAGCACGGTTAGGTCTAAACGAAGAGGCTACAACTGCAGTAGAAAGTACTAACTTATGGATGAAACTTACACAGTGACAAATGTAATTTGCAGTGAACATACACAAAATTGAATTGTAAATCAAATGCAAGACAATTGTTCAAATACCTCCACGTAATATACGCATTATAAAGTCTTCAATTTGGAAATACGCCGTTGTACGAGGTATCCAAGTACACACTTGTCAAAACTAGTTGTTACCTATAAGACTTGTCTAGATACGCAGCAATAAGCAACAATGGGATTTGCAGATTTGCATGAGAGACTCTAACACCGAACGACAGGTCAGGGCGAAATTCGAGCCTTTTCACTAGGAAGTTAATGATGTTGGATGTTTCTACAGGTGAGACGGAAGAGAACTGAATTACAGATACGAAAATTAACTGCACTATGGAGCGACGTCCACTACTATTAATGAAACCTACTCCGTAGTGAAGAAGAATAATTTCAAACTAACGGTAACACAAAAGTAGTGAAGACAGGGTTGAAAACGACCGTTTACGTCTTATCTGCCACGTAGTGTTGATAACTGAGCTGTTGCTATGATCGATATGATGAAGTGCTAGAATGAAAAACGGAAATTCAGTCTCCCGTTGTATTCAGTTGCAGGTGTTTGATTAGATATTATACATTTCTGGGAATAAAAACGAAGATCGTAATTCCAATATCGATTAATGCATATACACTATTTTGTAAAAGCCATGCACTCCATCACAAAAATAAATAAAAAACAGTTCAAAAAGGTTTTGGTACTTACCATGGCAGATATTTCACCATCCTCTTGTAAGAACTGCACTATTTGACTTTTATGAGCGGGTTCAACACGTGCAAATAACTTGCCATTTCTAACTGCTTCTCTTTTCTGTTCCAAGTTGAGATCATCAAATTCTCTTCCTGTAAAAGATTTTCCTAACGTGTCTTCCTTCTCTTCAAATAATCCAATACGACGGCAAATAGCTTCAGCTGTTGCCTTGTTATCGCCTGTAATGACTATTACTCGGATACCAGCCTTCTTGCAATCTTGGATACTACTGGCCACTTCAGAACGCGGTGGATCAACCATTCCAACAACACCCACGAGAGTTAATTCAGACTGAAAATAAAAGCAATTATAGAAAACAATTCAAATCCCAGGTGAATATTAACTACTTATAAAAACCAATCTAAAAACGACATAAAATCCTGACTACTTTTTAAACTTAAAATATAACTAACCTTTGTAAGCTTACAATATTTTCTACAAAACAAATATGAAGAAGCTGTACAGTTATCTCGTAGACTAACAAGTCAGGCAATGAAACTGAAAACAAAACTGAGTAGTCTTAAGAATATCGCTGGCACTTGAATACCAATGGTGATGGTGACTCAATGGGTATAATTTGACATAGGTGTACGGGTTCATATCATCAAGAAGTTGTCTTAATGAGACTAACTAATTACGTTACAATGTGATAACAACACAATACAAACTAAAAGCCACTTACAGACTCATGTACTAGAGCCAGAACGCACATCAACTGTATGGTGAAATGAGGTTCCTTGGTTTTACTCATTTAAGAAGGTTAAATACACTTCCAACTTAAAAGCAGAAAGCCGCATACTTTACTTTCTATTTAAAAGGAATATCAGTAAAATTATCTAACCATCCAATTTTTAATACACTGTGAATACCGTTTAGTGTCTAGTAGGAGAACGGACCAATTTCAAACTCCTATGATTTGTTTTAGAAAAATGTACGGTGTTATCAATTGGTTAAGAGATATTCAAAAATATGCTAGACCGAGTTACAATACGATAATTCAGAAAACTTTATCTTGTCTTCTTTGTAGCTAAGATGTATTACGGTTTGTTAAATGCTTTTACGTGGAATTACATTAACAATGAAAACCACTAAATGTTCATCATATCCTGTAGCAGGAAACCAAACTTACCGTGCAACGAACTTCCTGTTCACCTTTGCCATTCATATTCATATCGTCGTAATTTTCCATCTGAACTATACTGTATTTCGGCTGTTCTTAAATTTACCTTTATATGCATCTTTGTTTTACTCAGTCGCTTATCGACTAAAGTTCTGATCTGTCTATATCATTTTGAGTCGCTAGACAACCGCTTCCACAAAGCTGTCGTTTAGTGTGACATTTGACACGCTTGTTCTGAAACTGTGCGCATTGCTTAAACCAGCAATATTCAACGTTCTCATCTTAATGTAGATTGTACAACAGACAAGTTTAGCTAGGACTGTTGGCTAATGCTATTTCAGAGACCTATATACACGATTCGAATTAAGCGCTTTCCATAACTTGCTATCTGCCAGCTCGAAAAGTGCATTTATAATGCACGTATCCAAGGGCCCTGTGAGGTGAAACAGCCAGCCTTGTTGCTGTCACACTAAGTGCCAGAGCCAAAGGTGAACTAGTCGATCGAATCCGCGTCAGACATTGTCTGTGTGATGCTAAGCTAGAATTCATTGTAATAAGTAACTGGCGAGGGAAACAATGCTTCTTTGTTATCTCTACCTATGCTCTAATTGACTGCAGCCAAGATGCAGTCGAGGATGAATTCTACCATCAACTCACCAATCTTTTTTTACTAGGTGCACTAGACAGTTACTGTAATGCTACCTGGGGACCTTAATGTACAGGTCGAGCGTCTAGGCCGATAGGAAGGTCGTTTAGGTGACCAATAGGCCTTAGTTGGTTACAATTCAGATAATGGGGTACGTTTTTTGATGGCGTATGCAGATCACAACCTGTTTCTGGCCAATACCTACTCCCAGCACAACTATCAGCCCTGTGCACCTTACTCTGTCATATTATATCGAGCTAGATCCAAGACTAGCTGTCAAACCTCCAGAAAGTAAAAATGAGCATTAAATGCACTTACAAGAAGTCATGGAAAAGGCAATAAAGCTGTTTGTGGCTTTGAAAAACATCCTAATAATGAACACCAGGTCTCCACAAGCTCCCTGCAAATTACTGACGCTCCCCGGTGTTTTCTGATAGAGAGTGAGTACAGTGGTATGCGTAAGTACCTAACGTAACAAAACAGACACTAATAGTATAAGGACCGCGAGGCCTCGCGGTGAGAACCCGTGTGATGGAAGCAGCAGTTACACCTGACAATAGTTGAGAGCTGTTTCTGATCATCCAAGTCACAGACAGTTAGAAGCCTGGTAGCAGTGAGATCTATGAAGCACATAGTACGCCGATCACAAACTTCCATAGACGCTTGGAATGCTGGGTGGGGCACTTCGAAAAGCAGTTTAGCCGACCTGCTGTTTTAGCAACACCCCCCTTGTCTTATGCTTCACGGTAAGATATCGCCAATTCGCCTTAAGAACTCTAATTTCTAAAGCGCCAAGAGGCACCCAACCCAAAAAAACCTATCCTCTACTCCGTTTAATGACGGATTTGAGACCAGTCAGGAAATTGACGACACTGTTTGGAAGGGTACGGAGACTTAGAATGTTCCGCAACTTTGAAATGAAAACACTGTTAAATTCATATTTAAAAAGGACCTACGTTATGTATGTGATGGCCATCGAGTTATTAGATTGATGGTTGTAGCATCTGAAGCGTTTTGCTGCAATCATACTTATAAGGCTGAGAAAAACGAGCGAGAAGCAGGTCTGGCTTTGTTCAGACTGCTGATGCATTGATCACGTGTTCACTCTGAACCAGATGCTAGAACACCATCACATGTATTGAAAGCCAATGGTCATTGTATTCCTTGATACTATGGCTGCATTCTAGGATTGTCTGTTTCACGGATCACCATGAGGAGTTCGTCACTATCCTGAAAGTCATGCACTCACCTCATTCCACTGCTCCAGATTAACAATGGGATAAGGCAGGGTTACCCGATTTTTTTACCATTCCTTTTTGACTTTGCTATTGATGGCACTTTAGAGACAAGCCTGAGGGAAGTGCGTGGCGGCGGTGCAGACCTGTTATTAGATGAAAGGTTTTTCGACCTCCGGTATGTGGACGAGATCGATTTATTGATAAACGACACACTGGTTACTCAAAACGTACAGTATGTGCTTGACACAGCGGAAGAGGTGGACAGTGTATGGAGTGGTGCCATGGAATGAAGGATAATTGCGTTAGGTTAGTAGATATCAATGCCTTACTGACTGAGATGGTAGCAGACATGGGTCTGCATGGAAGCCAGTGGTAATCAGGCTGCAGCTTTCCTGTTTCTTCCACTAGTGGAAAGCAAAACGGAAGTAATAGACGATTCTGTGGGTGCATTTTTTAAACTGACTTTTTAATAACCCATTTCTGCCTTTGCTTTCATCTTCCCTTCAGGTTTCTCTATCTTCATTATGTTAGTTTATTTTACTTATTATGGTGCATATCTCGGTGCCTATGATGTACGAAGTTAGTTCTCTCACAAATAATAATAACAATAATAATAATAATAAAACCAACTGGCTGTTAGGAGTCAGTGGATAGAAATGTCAGGAAAAATTATCATCATGTTTAGCTTACCTCATAATCTTTGAAGTTTTTCGGATCTTTTAGATCAAATTGTGAATACGAAGGTGGGTCATCCCTTGTTGCTAGGGCCAAACAACGTAGAGTTTCACGCCCAGTAGCATAAGTGGCTATTTTCCTTAAGATTTCATCTTTCAATCCGGATGTCAGTAACAATTTGCCACTTGCCGTTCGCACATAAGTGCAGCGATCCAATATCGACTCTGGAGCCCCCTTAACATACAACATTAAATGTAAGTAATAGAGTGAAGAAAGATCAAATGTTTGAGCATAGTCTGTTTTATATAAATCTGAGGAATCTGACGCAGATAACTTTATCAGGAAAATAACCCAGAATAGTAGCAGACATAATATACTGAATAGTCTACAAACTGTTAATCAAACGGAAGCCGATGTAGAAATTAACTCCTGAATACGAAGCACCAACCAAGGACTATCTATCAAGTTTGCAATACAGTCACTGAACTAAGTTCACGTTCAAACCCGCAATATTCAGTGATGAAGTGATGTGGGTTGGAATATCCAAGGGAATATTCATTTCCTCCTTAGAGTTACAGATATGCCTTCCAATATGTGCTAGAAGTATCAAACCTAGGACCAAGGCAACTTGACGACTGCTTCCCAACATGTAGCACCGAAATATTGAAAATTCTACAACTTAAGACTGCAGCAGCTACCTCAATTATGAAAACAATAGTTGGGTAGATACTGGGAAACAACAATTAGGAAATTTCAACACACACTCATTGGTCTGATATTTTTAAACGACCAACGGTATCTGGGTATACGGCTAACGTATTTTTTGTCGGGTCAGATATGCTTACGCCAAGAATATCTGAACTTTCAAGTGATTTTGTGGATTCTGGAAGTAAATTATAAATTACAAGTCACTGATTTTAGAAATATATTTAGACATAAGTGCTAGTGAGCTTCTTCAAGGCAATCAGTCAGTCGTTTGAATATTATTTTCATGATAGAGGTCTGTCTGTTATCCCATGACGAATGAAGACTCAAAATACTTAGGGTGATCAAGTTTCTTGTAAAGTTGAGTTTCATACCTTTTAATTGTTTAATACCGAATCAGAAAAATGGAACGACTATCACTGCCCTAAAAAAAGGAACATAAGCCGACCGGAAAATATCTTTCTCCGGTTGAATAGTTGTTTTTATGGGTTGAATAAGAGTGAATTCTGTCTCGAGAACCAGGAAAGGTTTTCTGTATGAAATCATAAAATGGATAGAGTCCGCTCTACAGTACTCCACCATTTGCAGAATATGATTAGCATGATAAACATATTTACTTGAGAACTGAACTAAGTATTTTTAAACCACCTTTATCTCTTTTATAAACTATTTTAACTGAGTGACACCTACTAAAAAAATCCATGGAAGAGTTAAATAGCTATCACATATCTGCACCAGAGTCAAGTAAACGGACCGACTTCCGATTCTTACTGGTGTCATACAAACGAAAAATGACTCCTGAGGGGACTAGCCAATAAATCATTATAGATTCAAATTTAAACGCGTTTCAGTGATTAAAATATGATACGAGACGCAAATAGAATGATAAGCATATAGAACTATTTTCCTTTACACTGTCCAAAAGTTCAAAATCTCAACAGTAAAACCCTCTTGTCGATCATAATTCTTCATTGTTACGTGGACTAAAACACTACTATAATCAAGGGACTCACCTTTCTACTAATATGGTTAGTGAATTTTAATCTAACCAATTTTTCACTGCTGGCTGACAAAAGAATGGTGCCACCATCTTTTTGTATGACCAAGCTAAATACATCTGAGTAACTGATTTTTGTTGCTGGAATAATCGCTGTAGCCTCTAAATATTTCTTCAAACCTTTAAAAAACAGATTAACAGCTGACATACAACCGTATCAGAACCGAAAGTACAAAACATGATACGCTAGTCATATTTCGATCATCTTTACTTCTCCAGATGTTAGACTTTTCAGTTATCTCGCTTTCGAATATCCAACTCATACGAATTGGATCTAAATATGACTTTTAAATACACGAAATAGTATAAACAGTTGCACAAGCAAAATCAAACAATAGTGGTAATGTTACCTTAACGAAAAGCTTGTCATTGGAATCAGATGTTTGTTTTCGGGGAGTAACATACGTAGACATCGATTTTCTATCCCGAGAAAATTCAAGCGTAAATTTCTTTTCGTAAGATTTCTAAAATTGAAAAGGACAGATAGAAATACATCGCAAAAACTTGGTAAGCACAGTTAAAGAAACTAAAATACCTGAATATCCCGGTTACAAAGCATAGCCAACTGACGATCAGCTATGCCTGCTTTACAGACTCCAGTGACGTTCATTTTTTCAACCAGGCAGACCAATGCAGTTTCAGTAGCTTCGCCCACTTTTTCATATGCACGCCGAGACTCATTGTACTCCACAGACGAGTCATTGCATAAGGAACATATTTTTGCAAGCTCCACAAGACATGGATAGTCAGAACAGTTTATTTTTCGTCCCTGGTGATGCCTAAAAATGTTACAAAAGAAGTTTTAGCAAACTATTGTTTGATCAGAACTGTGATCCAAATATTGAATGAGCCTAGAACGTGAAATGATAACGGGTAACCTTGAAACAGTACATATACAGAAGTTCAAGATACTACGCCTACTAGAGCAGGAAAGAATACACTGTTTATAACAAGATTCTTAATGTTTTCGAACAGCTGCATTAATATTGTAATAAGAAAGCTACTATAAAACTTAAGACACTTATAAGGCGCCAAACAGTGCACAGTAGTTTCCGATTCCCAACTCTATTTAGTTCTGATGCTAAACAAACGTTCGCTTAGTTGTGTTGTATTACCTGAGTCAAATGGTTTAATAATGAAGCTTTCTTCATCTTTCTTGACGACATTATACGTAGCATCAACTTCGAAGTGAAGTGAGCTGTCAGTTTCTCTTCATGAATGAGTTAGTAGCCTGCCCCGATGAACCGGTTCGTGACTGATGGTTTTCTTTGATTGTTGTGTCACTGACTGCATAGATTTCCCTGTTAGCTGTTTCCCTGCCTGAACCCTGACCTTGTTGTTGTTTTTCAATTTTCTTACTGGTTGGTAGATTTGGCACAGGTCCATACATCTATTGATTAACTGACTGACTGATCCAAATACCGAGCTGCTACGAATTCTCTGATATTCTGTGTTTCCTCTGTGCATAATTTCTACATTGTCGAGTTTGAATTCATGTCTACATTTATCCATGTGAAATGGTATGAAAGATGAAATGATGTGACGTTTAATAGCCAATCGATGCTCATGTAGACGAAGGAGAAGAGGGCGACCACTTTGTCCAATGTAGTGTTGACTACAGTTATTGCAGTTGATTTTATAAATGATATTCGGTTTGTCTTCGTCGGTTCTTACTTCCTTTGGTCTGCATAATAGGGTTTGAAATGAAGTTTGTTGCTTTATGAGCCATACCGACTCCATGTGGCTTTAGTGATCTTGTCGTGGTTCCTGATATATTCCTTATGTACGGTGGGACGATCTTTTTTCTGATTTCTGTGGAGGACTTTGTAGTTGACGATGAACGGGATAGACATCTGATAAAGTTTCGTAGGTAGCCGTTCTTTAGGATAGACATCAAGTGATTCTCTTCATTTCTCCGTGAAGTTGATGTACTGCAGTGTGTTCTCGCTCTTTTGAATAGTCTGCACGCAACTAGTTTTGTGCGTTGTCGCTACTGTAGTTGAGGATTTGATCAGTGTGCTTTGGCTCCCTGCATACTTGGGTTTCCAATTTCCCGACATTTGTCCTAGGAATGGTAGTTGGTTGTTCGACTCCTTCTTCATTGTGGATGTGATGCCATTGAAAACGTTGTTAATCAAACTGTGAGTGTTTTCTATTTCATCATTTTTACTGATGACAGAAGTATCATCTGCATAGCGAACCCAAACTCTTGGTTCAATCACAGGTAGAATGATGTGACATCAAAGGATACCGTTAATTCGTCGTTTTCCGTATGAATGCTTTTGATCGTTTCTAAGATCTCTGTTGGCAATTTGATTGAATGTCCGCATGATTGAGCAAGGTGTTTCAGTTTTATCGAAAGCTCTCTTGATGCGTTGTATGTTGGAGTTCCCGGAAGTGAGACTATTGATCGTAGAGGCATGTCTGGTTTGTGTAGTTTTGGTCTGCTGTAGAAAACCGAGGAAGGACAGATCTACTAGATTTCATTCGCCATTTGTCTTGCTTTGTTATTTGTTTGTCAAGGTTTTGATGATGTGGTTGTAAAATTCTTGAATAGGGTTGGTTTCAAGTGGTTGATACACATTAACGTTTTTGAGTAAATCCTCTGCCAATTTCATGTAGTCTTCCATGTCCATGACTACAGTGGTGCGTCCTTTGTTTGCTGGGAGTATAACGATGTCTTTCCTATTTTTCATTCATTTGAGTTACAATTTTTCCTCACAATACGCCTGCTTAGCGCATAGAAATGACGCATAGCACAACAATATGCTGTTGAAAATCGGAGTATTTGAAGAATCGTTTGTATTTCGTTGGCATTTATTATGCAATTTCAGCGTAAAATATTATAATGGGTAACGATTGAAGAGATCGATTTTAGCCAACATCGATGACCAAGTTAAGTCTTGTAAACAACTTTAAGGGCTTTACGCAGTCACTGCTACTGATAAGAAAGGGGTTAAATATAGATACTTTGGAAACTCAGACTTCGAAATAGTAAAAAACAACCACAGAGCCAATGACTGTTGCTTCTAGGTTAATTCGACAGGGTTTGTAGGAAACTGACAGTCGATAGAAAAAACGACGCAAATTGCTAGACTGGTCCCTGTTTTACTCAACAACTCGTTTTTAAAATGTAGTCCTGAAAGTATCCCTTTGGGTTATCAATAAATTTGAGTCGATCACTGTAAAAGTGAGTGGTTGACACAGGCTCACCGCCTACATTAAGCAGAACGAATCACAGTGCATGCAAAACAACCGATTAGTATTGAAGGACTTACTGATCTAGGAGCATGAAGGAAGAGAGCAAGGGATGCCTACTTAGGAATTGTTAAAAAACATTCATAAAAAGAATTAATCTAGGTGGTAATGAGCTCGTTTCATGCATCAAGAAGTTTAACCAGTAGATCCGAGGACGAAGTGGAGCTATTTCATAAACCAATCGTTTTCAGCCCATCCATTCGATAGCAGAAAGACAGAACCAACGGAAATACTGATTATACTTACTGGTGTTACGCTCTGATAGTGGTGCAGCTGTCTTCAGACTTCAGATAACTCGCTTTCTATATCCTAACGGTCAGATTGACAGGGACCTAGGTAACAAAAGTTTCAGCCAACACAACTCGGATGAACGGACACCGTAGATGAACTTAGTTATCATAGAGAAGTAGCAGATGAGGTCACAAGATAGTAAGTTATAGTCAATATAACAAAGTATGAGCACGATAGCAAACTAAACCATACCGAAATAGAGTGGTTAGGAAACGGCTTACTGAGTATCTTAAATGAATTATATACCTATATTCAGCTTTAAGTTAATAATTTCTGGATAATTAGTAGACCAAACATGAAAAAATAGTAGAAACTTACACAATTCCTTCAGGAGCATACTTTGACCCAGTAACTTCAAATTCGTCAAACTTCAGTTGCGAGCTATCACCACTTCTGACGTTGCTTCGATTATCATCAGCAAAAGTAAACATCCGACATACAGTCATTTGATTGGTTGTGAGAGTACCAGTTTTGTCAGAACAAATTACTGTTGTGCAACCGAGAGTTTCCACACTTGGTAACGACCGGACAATAGCATTTTTGCGAGCCATTCGACGGGTTCCTAGAGCCAAACAAGTTGTAATTACAGCTGGTAAACCCTCTGGAATAGCTGCTACAGCCAGTGCAACGGCGATTTTGAAATAGTATACAGCGCCCCTAAACCATGAACCACCATGAACTGGGTCACTAAAATGACCAATATTGATGCACCATACAGCAATACATATAAATGTTATTACCTACAAAAAGTAAAGAGAAAAACATTTCACTCCATAAGAGGAGAATTTGTTTTTACCCAATATCTATTTACAACAAAAGCATTATGATAGGAATTAAAGGGTGGAAGATCAACACGACATTTCAATACTACAAATAAAATATACTGTTAACCAGTAAACAAGCACGGATGAAAAACTAGAGAAAAAACTAAAATCCAATTTTATACCTTTGACAACTGCGTCCCAAACTCATCTATCTTTTGTCCAAGAGGAGTCTTGTCCTGCTCCGTGTGCATAATCTGATCTCGGATTTTGCCTATCTCTGTGCATAATCCAGTCCCGACAACAACTCCTATGCATTTTCCTGAAGCTACGTTCGTGCCGCTGAATAACATATTCTTTTTATCCTGATTTACAGCACGCGACTGAGATATAGCGTCACTATGCTTTGAAACCGAAACCGATTCACCAGTGAGGATGGACTGATCAATGAGAAGTGTTGTAGACAAAATCTTAGCGATCCGAATATCCGCCGGTACCCGATCTCCAACTAAATGAGTAGACAGGATGAATTATTTCGTAATGAAAATATTCCAAGGTTAAAAGAGTGTAAAAGAAAATATTTTGATAGCAAAAAACCAACAACAAAATAGAGCGCGAACGCTTTTAGGGTACGTCTGCAGTTTTATCACATATTTTCACTGAACCTACTTTGGGCTGGGGATATGAGTAATAAAGTGAGCCTTCAAGAAATAGGATTCATAGCACGTTTGACTTGCTAACTTAAAAATCTCAGCAAACGCCGGAGTAATAGATCCAATATGTTTAACGAACATAGAGCTACATGTGCTATACTACTGGGCATTGCTGAAGTGCCACACGAATAATTCATACCGACTCGCAATTTAAGGAAATACAATCATGTATTTGAATTTATTGAACACTTTGTTTATTTAGGAAGTTGCATCAGATATCTTGGGGCTGAGTATGTTTCGTATGCGTTTCATGCTTTTCAAATGTAAGATGATGCTTCAGAACTTGTCTTCAACCACTCCCAGTTTAATGATAGGGAGTGGAGTGGTGGAATGTGTCAACCACTGAACTTATTTGGGAAGTTGAATTACCCCAAATGGGTTGGTTGCTGACGAAATCTCAGCTTGGATATAGAAGGTCGGTTTGGTATTTTCTAACCTGCGTCATATGAGGCACTGACTAACGAAATATCCGACTAACTTATCAAAGGACTAGTATACTGAGCTGAAATTCGTTCGGTCCTGTTGTACGGCTGTGAGACATGGACGTTAAAAGTAGAAGATATGAAGCGATTACAGGGTTTTATCATAGATGTCTGCCTAGCACTGCTTGTGCTTGGTGGAATCACCGTGTGAGAAATGATGAAAATCAGGTGAAGGGTACTAGGCATTCGAGGAAAGTCGACTGATGTTGCGAGATGGCTTGGGCATGTACCGAGCATGCCGAGCCACCACTCATATCTACGTGCCATGTTGGTCGAAGTTGGGTTAGGTTGGAAGAGGGTTCAGCGTGACCAGACCTGGGACCGGTCAATGAGGTTTCTTACCGTTGGACTGTCATGTGGGACGATATAGACTGAGTGGTTGGAGTCCTCGAGATGAAAGGAATCAGTGGTTGAGGACTTTTGGTGACATGGCTGAAAATCGGTCACGATGACCCAGATGCATTCACTACTTAACATCTTCTAAAGTTTGAATATTTGTACCAACCTTTGTCTTCAGATTGTTTATTCTATCACACTACTCTGTTTACCTTGATATCAATCTTTTACCATCCACCTTTTTTCTTTGTGTACTATTGTAAAATGAGGCGACTTCAGCCGATGCACTTGTGTACGAGGTTCTATGTTGACTTTATCAGTTAATCAATCATCTTGAAGCTGATAATGGTGAAATCCCAAGAATGATAGAAAAATTTATTTGGAATTTGCTATATAAGACTATAGGTTCAATGATCAACAAGATATGACACTATACTAGTTCCAGATGGCTATCAAGTTTAACTAAACAACGACATTTTATAGTAGAACGTTGCACAAAATAGTATCAGTCCGAGCAACATACGGATAATTTAATGGAGAGATTTATACAAAAATACATGAGGGGAGAAAAGTTTAGTGAAAAACTTTAATCTTTAGTCATTTTTTGCTTTAATACACGACTGTTCTTACTATTAGGTCTAAGAGAGATTTCTTAGTAATGCTTCATACACACCAATGAAGGATGAATCTCAGCAGATACTTTGGAGAAAAGAATCTTTTACAATAAGGACTAGTGGAAATATGACATCTGTATTCGTCGTTAGCTTGAAGTTATTAATGGTTAAGTAAGCGATTTTTCCCTCGGTTTAAAAACGGTGCTGACCAGAAAATATCAGAAATGATTACCACTGTCGGTTCTTCTGCAAAGGATCCTAAAAATACCTAACTGGCTGAGTCTCCACATTAAGGCAGTGAGTTCACCTGTTAATAAATACAGTAAAACTGAAGGCTTTAAATAGAGCCAACAACTCATACGCCAAGAGTCGCAATCGGCAATTGAAGATTACAGATAAGCATCTAGACAGACAAATCATTGTAGAAACTAACAGAGAAGTGCATCCGTTCAAGTCTCCACATATAACATCAACAGGTAAAAGGATGATTGCATAGAAAATGTGATATTAAAGTAGACAAAAAAGTGTATGACAGGAAAGAGAATTAAAAGAAGTGGACCTCAGTCAAAATGTTTAAATTTTGAAGGTATTAAAGGATTAATACGTCTGCACCGTAGTAACCGTTTATCCAACCACGTCATCAAGTTTTAAATAATTTATTCCTATTACCTCGAAAGCTACAGTCAGATAGTCTACACCTGGCTACGTCGATCAGATCTACAGTCAAAATCTTCAAACACATCCCACTAACCTTCTTCCAACAAAACCCGACTTCGCCTGACGTTCCACATCGAGGAAGGTGGTGGCTCTGCATGCGCAACACACGTCCGAGCTACCTCAGTCGGTGAAAGTTCATCACCTCATCCATTCAAGATGAAAGTCGAAATGCACTCAGCAATCACGTGGAATAGGTAATGAACCACATCTATTGTTTAAGGGTTAAGGATACTACATGTCTGCCAAAACCTCAGCATGTGGAGCAGTGTTCGAAACAGTGAACAGTGAACAAGAATGACCAGGTAATTTATATCCATTGCATTTCAAACGATAGAAATGTCCGGTAAAAGAAGAAAAAACAAATAGTAAATAAGAACTAATTCTATCTCCGGCCTAGAAGTAAGTTATTCCTGGTTATACGATTCATACTGACGTCTAGATAGAACATAGGAACAATAGGATAACCAGGCTGATCGTGCATGAATCTCACAGTGTATATTCAGCCACCAATGTCGATTCAAATTGTGCAGAGACAATCTGACGTATATCAAAAAGACAGACAACCGGGTCTAGAAAAATGGGTAAAGGTGCTAAGGGATGGTTGACGACATCACAAGTCATCAAATTGGTATCGAAAGCTGTAGAGCTAGAAGAAATTAAAGATGATGTAGAATTGTTGACTGAAAGACGTGAAAGAAGACCAGAAGGTAAGGATGATGGAGGTCGGTAGTGGTCCACGGGAAACTTGAGCACTGACAGAGTTGTGAGAGCATTTGACACTTCTCGGATGTTCACACTGTGGAAGGCTATCTCTTCTTGAGGTGCCTGAAAAGGAAGGGTTTCTGCAGGGTCGTAGAACACAGTGGACATCTGTTAGAGGCCGGTCATGTACAGCCTTTTCGATGCCACATCAATCGGCCTGTATTGTGGATGATATAGTTAGACACACATCCTGTGGTTTGGGATCACCACTAACAACTGGTGACTGATCTAAGTAACAATAATGCATCATTTCATTGTTTAAGAACACGTTAATGGTAAGGGTAACTGCTTTTTGTCTAATCCCTTTCTAACAGACCTTTCTGGTATGGTAGGAGCCCGAGGGAACAAGCATTCCATCAGAATAGCTCGTTAGGTGATCGTGAAATACAAGCCCGATGATCACATCATGGTATTAGCTGTCAGTCAAGACATCACAGGTGCAGAATAAGCAACAAATACTAGTATGTACTTCACCACATCTCACAGAAATTAATTCTCAGTTGCAGAAATGGTATCGTTTTGATTCATTTTTCTTAGTTTATGCATCGATGTTAAAGGATGATTATGGGTTGGTTTCCTTACTAAGTATAGTCACACATAAGATAGCTCAAGATGGTTGTAAATTTAAATTTGAGGCACTAAAGTATGTGTATGACAGTGGTCCATGAGAAGAATTCAATTTTGGAGATATAAAAATTTAATGAGTAGTTGTTCTGCAACGTAATACACAGGAGGTATTTTACCTTGAAGTTTGGTAATCTGTGTGAATAGTAAGTCACAGAATATTTTATATCATGAATGGAGAAGGTAAGTTTTCACTAATCTGAGAGAATTAACACATAAGAGTAAATTTTAATGCTCTCATCATCTGAAACATTAGGTTTGTGAACAAAAGGTCGTTATTTTGGCCATTATACAGTTTTCCTATTCCGATATTTGAATGAGAAAAAGAAACAGATCCAAACAGCTTTGCAAATGATATTATTAATTCGGTAGACTTTTGAAAACGTGGCTGTGGAGGATACAACAAAATCGACTATGAATCTTTCACAGAAGTTAATCGGTTCAAGTTCTCACGCTTAACACCAGGAAGCAAAAGAAAAATTGCGTAGAAAATGTGACATTAAAGTAGACAGAAAGGTGTATGACAGGAAAGAGAATTAAAAGAAGTGGACCTCAGTCAAAATGTTTAAATTTTGAAGGTATTAAAGGATTAATACGTCTGCACCGTAGTAACCGTTTATCCAACCACGTCATCAAGTTTTAAATAATTTATTCCTATTACCTCGAAAGCTACAGTCAGATAGTCTACACCTGGCTACGTCGATCAGATCTACAGTCAAAATCTTCAAACACATCCCACTAACCTTCTTCCAACAAAACCCGACTTCGCCTGACGTTCCACATCGAGGAAGGTGGTGGCTCTGCATGCGCAACACACGTCCGAGCTACCTCAGTCGGTGAAAGTTCATCACCTCATCCATTCAAGATGAAAGTCGAAATGCACTCAGCAACCACGTGCATATTCGTGCAATAAGCAATGAGCCATACCTATTGAGGGTCAATGATACTGCATGTCTGCTAAAACTTCGGCAGATGAAGTATCATTCGAAGCAGTGACCCAGTGGTCGGAAGTCAACCCCCCTCCCAAACCAGTGGGCCACAGCTTCACTACCTTGTTGACTAACTTGCGTTGAATGCCTTCACATAACCTAACCATTGGTCACATTATGATTGCATACGTGAGCAGTACAATGAAGACACATGATCAAAAACCTGCAACGTCTTCAAATATACCTCTGTCGACGACTATTTCTTACAGCCGCATAGTAGGAAAGAATGGAATGCAGAACAGTATGCTCAACAAGTGGTTGCATATCCTACTGGCGTCAGAGATGCCGTAAGTTAACAAGTGCTAAACAGGCCTTTTTCACCCGAGCTGATATTTATTAAGCCAGAAAACCATTTAGGTTGATGCAACTCACCTACCAGTCAGCGCACTCTACCGCTTCACTTCAGACTGAGATCGTTTGTTAAATGCTGGTTGTGTCCATCTCCAACGACGGGAAGTTATGGAACTATGTAGTTTCTACAGCTGACCTCTTAGAATGGAAACGTAGAACTACAATACTTACAGAAGTCAGTCTGCCAGACCTCCCATCCATCCATCTAAGTCAACAAAGGACCAGGCATTACTGCGTAACGGTCCGAGTTGCCACACCTCATTTCATATCAGTAAATCAAGTAAAAAAGCAGTAAAGTGCAAGATGAAGATAAGAAAATTCAGTCAAAAGAAACACGAAGTGCGAATAGAGAGAAAAGAATGAGAAAATGATGACTCAGTATAACGTTAAGATGAGGATAATGTGTGTATACATCTGTCACTGACATAGGTTCTGAAACATATCACATGAGTCTCTAACCACTGGTTCCTCTTGTCCCGTGGACCCCAACGACCCAGCCTGCATTCATTCACATGGCTCAAACAAACAGTCAAAGACTTTGATGCCATGTTTTAGTCTGGCAGCCTCGAGCCTTTTTCCAGCCTGAACCTTCTTCGGCCAACATTGTGTGACGAGGCAATCGGTGACTAGACATACGTAACACGTGCCCCAACTATCTCAGTCAACCGACTTACCTCTTCTTCCTAAAACTCTACTCCTGACTTCTGCATTACCCACGTGGTGACACCACGGAATACGGCCTGTACTACGAAGGCAATGGTGGTCAAACACGCGAAGCCTTTTCATGTCTTCCACCTTCAATGGCCATGTTTCACAGCCATACAGTAGAACAGACCGAACTACTGTGCAGTACACGCGACCCTTATTAGACAACCGGATATGACGACGGCGCCGCAGGTGGCGTAAATTGGCAGAAGCCAATCGAGCCCTTTATATCCGTCCAGAGATTTCATCGACCACTGAGCCACCAGTGCAGGGTTGATCCTACTTCCCAGGTAAGTGAATAGGTCGACACACTCAACCACTACACTCTCTATTGTTAGCCGTGGTGGGGCACCGTTGAAGACCAATCCCGGAGCAAAAACTTGCATTTGGGTGGTGAAAACCGCATCCCCAACATTCTCAAATTTCCACTCATAGTGTTCAGAAGACTCTGCATCTTGTCAGTGTCTTCACTTAACAGGATTATGTCATCTGAGTATGCTAGGTTTAAAGGGAATTCTCCCGCGATTAGGTTAACCTCCGTGTAATCAGGTGACGAGAGGGACACCTCTATAAGTATATCTATGATAAAATTGAATAAGAATGGAGACAGTGGGTAGCCTTGACGGACACCGCTCGACGAGTACAGCTCCCCGGACATCTCTCTATAGGCTCTAACATGCCCACAAGTGTTCGAGTAGAGATCCTTCAATAAGGTGATGTACTTACTCGACACGCCTTTCACTGAGACATTGCCATAAGACTTCTTGATCAACGGAGTCAAATCCCACCTTCATGTCAAGAAATATAGCTATTGTCGGGCGTCGGTAAGCGTGCCTGTTCCAGAACCTGGCGCAGTGTGAATATCCGGTAGATACACCCACGGCCGGGCCTAAATCCTGCCTGGTTTTCTCGGGCTTGCTGTTCCCCAGCTCCACTCAGGCGTCGAAGAGTTATGGGACCGAGAATCCTAGATACTACGTTCGTCAGGCCGATTCTGTGGTTATCACAAGAGGACTACTCACCTTTCTTGAGACTGGGATGATGAGTGAATTAGACCAGTTGGAGGGGATCGTATTTGATTCCCATATACTGGCTAACACTTCCGTTAACCTAACTAAGAGCACCTTACCACCATCCTTGTATACCTCAGGAGTTAGTCCATCTGGTCCTGCTGCCCTTTCTCGTTCCAAGTTACCTGTTCAGCAAACAAAGGTGTTTTGACCACAAAATGGGTAACAGTTCCCAGTATACATAAATGACAGAAACTCGCTGCAACAAAAGCCGCATGAAAAAGTACCGTCGGTGGTGGCATGTGGTTAACACATATATTGACGTGTTGTAGAAAATTCGAAACTACAAGAGCATGAGAAGAGAACGAACCGTTCGACACCAGTAACAGCAACACATAAGGCTGCAACTCGTGATGAACTGTCAGTAGTCTTTTAAAAGATGTGAAATAAAACTAAACCAAGTGTCAGTGAGACGGTATCCGACAACTAAGTCTTGAAAAATGAAAATTGAAAACCCGTGGCCTATTAGATTGGAAAAGAGCCCAAAGTAAAAATCTAGTCTCGTATTGCGATCTCTGAAGACGCTTTTGTTAGGCAAACATGCAGATGTGTTTCGATTACTTCGAAATTCCGTTGTTCTTAACTGTGGACGTCGATAATGACGACATGTCGATAATCTGGAGGATAGAAGGACATAGAAATTGTGGTTGAAATGTGACTCCACTAGATTTATAATACACAACGGCGATGTCAATAAAACTATAAGCTTAGACAGTCAAAGAGGTGAAAAATGCAGTAATTGGCACGTACATATGCCAGGACCAGCATCCGTTCCTAAAAGTGGTTGCATGAAGCAGTCTCCGAAACATTATCCAGCTAGAAAGAACAAAAATAACTACGTGGTGTTTTACCAGTAGTTTTGTAAAACACAAACTTATAGAACATGTAACGCTAATTTTTAACCAACAATCAGTAGCCCTGACAAAATTAACAGAGAATGGAAGATATGTAAACATTTATAACGCTCTCTTTGGGGGACGCAGTTCCTATCACAAAATAGAATCAGTTAAGATTATGGCCTTTTTGAACCTCAGCTAACCCATGACGTTTGGGTGATTCCCCGTAGTATGAGTTTCGGTGTCAACAGCGATCATCCGCACACAATGACTAGATTTAACTTACCTGAGACCTCCACAATGTCACCAGGTACTAGGTCCCGAGCTTTTAAGCTTTGTACACCCGAGTAGTCCTGACGAATAACCTTAGCAGTATCCGACTCGTACTCCTTCAGAGCTTCAATGGCCGATTCAGCATTACGCTCCTATATACATGAGTTTTACGAAGATCTTCTATACCTGCCACACACCAACTACTGCGTTGACAATCAAAATAAGCATAATGACAACTGGTTCGACGAATGCAGTGGTTGCATCCTCGCTATCTTCAAACCATGCTAAGACCTGAAACAAAATAGGTCAGTGTACTTGCAAAGAAGTTACGAATGATATGACAGCTGCTAGCAAGAGTATCTTGACCAATAAGTCATCAAACTGCTCTAGTACCAAACGCCACAGAGGCTTGCTTTCTTCGGGGGGCAGCTCTAAAGAATATTTCTAGACAAGTTTAACAAACCATTGTATCCATATTCCTCTAAAGCAGCCTCAACTTGCTTTTTTGACAGTCCAGTTTCAATGTTAGTGTTGTAGTGGTTTATAACATCATCCACAGTACGCGAATGAGCGTCTTCTAACATGCCTTTACTCATCAACAAAAGTGGGCGCCTGTGATGAACTTACGTGGGAGCACCATAAGCAAATTCATTAGTGCAAAAAAACAAACTTTACCAAACTTCTGATACTCGCCTGTATCATGATTTATAAAGCACCAGTTCATTAGGCCTGCAGATATTCGATACCATGACACAGAAGAATGAATAAGTAGATAACCAGACTTTGTATATTATTCTTCCGAGCATAGACATGTATTGCACCTTCATGGCACCAAAATGTAACTAGGGCTAAAATAAATGGTTAAAATTAAATTAACCTAATAAATCTCTAGTTTGCCTCCGGATGCTTAGGGTGTTTTAAGTTTTGTTTTAACGAGCATGCATCCGAGCAGGCTCGGACGCCTTCTTGCGCCCCATTGTGCTGATTACCATGCACGTACTCCGAGTCCCTAGTTCAGCCTTACAAGCCAGATAAGTTGATTAAACTTTTCCCTCATTCATTATTATTACATTTACTTCAATTAAATACATAGCTCCTTCAAATACATTGCGTATCAGTTCTTTTGATTTGCGTTTTGTTATCAGTACTTACACGTTAAGTAAAGTACTGGTTGAGCAGGTACTAGAGCACATCAAGTTAAGTAGGGCTGATCAAGCGTTACGGAATTGTAACACATCCCTACAAATTAGTGAGCCCGAGATTCACTTTTTACTTCGCCTAATACCTTTGTTTTTCTTGCGTTGATTTATCTGGCCTATTTTCGTTTTTGGCACGGTCTTGCATTTTTTTATTGCACTCCCCACTAGTTATTTTTGCTTGCTAATTTTTTTTATTACTATCATCATCGTGCCTCTTTAATTCCCTTATCAATCGCTGATAACTACGCTACCGCGCAGATGGCTGTAACCCTCCAGCTTCCCACCTTCTGGGCCCACAGACCATCTGCATGGTTCTCCCATGTGGAAGCTCAGTTTGCCTTGAGACACATTCAATCACAAGAAACTAAGTTGAACTTAGTCATCGTCAGCTTACCGGAAGATGTGATCGAAGACGTCTCAGAAGTGCTAGATGACCCAGCACCGAATCTTTACGATCGCCTCAAAACCGCCCTCATCAAACGTGTTGCACTTACTGACCAGCAGAAAGTGCAAGAACTTTTCAGGGATGTGCATCTGGGTGATCGTAAGCCGACGCAACTGCTTCGTCAGATGAAGCAGCTGATTGCTGACTTCAACATTGATGAAGCATTTCTCAAGCAACTGTGGTTACAGAGGTTACCACAGTCGGTTCAAGGGATCCTCGCACCCTTCCATAAGTGTCCCTTAATAGAGCTGGCGGAAGCGGCTGACAGAGCTGTGGATGCTACGAAACCCAACACTAGTATCTCAGCTGCACTGTCTACTGCCACGGATTCGTCCAAAACCCACATCCTCCCTCGGCTGGTGAGCCAACAAGTTTCGATGTTATAACTCACATCTCGAAATTGTACGAGTTGTGCAGCATCAGGAACGAAATGCGGTCTGGTAGTTCTTACAACGGTCGCACGTCTCGCTTGCGCAACAGGTCTGCCTCCCGTACCGTAGCAGACGTTCCAAATCGCGACAATCCCAACCCAGGTTGTGCTGGTACCATAAACGTTATGGTGCCAATGCCAAAAGGTGCACTCGACCTTGCACCTTCGAGGCTAACCAGGCGGGAAACGTGTGAGCCAGCACGTGACGGCGACTAACGTCGCTGGCGAGCCACTTCCATGTCGCCTCTTCTTCGTCACTGATCGACATTCTGGGATACGCTTCCTAGTTGACACTGGGGCAGAAGCTAGCGTCATCCCACCTACGAAGGAAGAGCGTCTGCGGCCAATGTCTCTGCAACTTCGTGCCGCCAACGGTTCGCCCATCACAACCTATGGTCGGAGATTCCTCGATCTCAACCTTGGATTGCGTCGTCCCTTTCGTTGGGTTTTCATAGTGGCGGATGTGACCACCGGTATTATTGGTATGGATCTCTTGCAGCACTATCAGCTGCTGGTAGATGCTGGCAAGCATATACTACAACACTCTCTGTTTCCGGTATAGTCACAAAGACGCCGCCCCTCAGTCCCGTGTACTGCACGACGGACGCTTCTAGTCCCTACGCGTCTATCATTCAGTCCTTTCCGGATGTCTTTAAGCCAAGTCGTTGTGTCCCTTGTGTGACTTCGAACGTTTCTCATCACATAACGACGACTGGCCCGCCAGTGTTTGCGAAACCACGGCGATTATCCCCGGAGAAACTGCGTGCTGTAAAAGCCGAGTTTGAACACATGCTTGAAATGGGAATAATCAGACCATCCAACAGTCCATGGTCTTCACCCTTGCATGTGGTACCCAAGAACAATGGCATGGACTGGAGGCCTTGTGGTGACTACCGAAGGCTCAACGCTAAAACGATTCCAGATCGCCATCCAGTCACATTCACGACTTGACTGCATCTTTAAAAGGCTCGGTTATCTTCAGTAAGCTTGACTTGACGCGTGCATATCATCAGATCCCGGTTCATCCTGATGATGTTCCCAAGACAGCCGTCATTACACCGTTTGGTCTTTTTGAGTTCCTCCGTATGCCTTTTGGTCTTCGCAATGCAGCACAAACCTTCCAACGTTTTATTCACGATGTTTTACGTGGACTCGAATTCGCCTATGCCTACCTAGACGACATACTAATCGCTAGTCCAGACACTTATTTTAACCACTTGAAACAGGTTTTCGCCAGACTGTCAGAGCATTCGATGACAGTCAACCTGGCGTTCGTTCACTAAAATTTTTGGGACACGTTATCGACGAGCAAGGCATTCGCCCACTACCTGAAAAGGTACAGGCGATCCAAGACTTCCCAGTCCCAGGTCACTTAAAGCTCTGCGTGTTTCTGGGTATGGTGAGCTATTATCGTCGCTTCGTTCCCCAATGTGCACACATTTTGACTGCACTGACCGACCTGCTGAAAAGTAATGTAAAACTTTCAGCTTGACTCCGAGGCACTAGAAGCATTTCGCAAGATCAAAACCGCAATAGCAGACGCCACGATGCTGGTGCATCAAGACGTAAACCTACCTCTTAGCATTGCGGTTGACGCCTCTAACACGGCCATTGGAGCTGTGTTGCAACAACTTTCGGATCACACTTGGATCCCAGTTGCATTCTTTCCTCGGAAGTTATCCACCTGCGAAATGCGGTACAGCACTTTCGGCAGGGAACTGCTCGCCATATATGCCTCAGTGAAACATTTTCGTCATTTTGTGGAAGGTCGTGATTTCATCATCTTTACCGACCATAAACCTCTGACGTATGCCTTACACACCACTACTGACAGATATTCACCGCGTGAATTACGTCACCTAGACTATATTTCGCAATTCACGTCGGACATCCGTCATATTTCTGGTGTGAATAACCCTGTCGCAGACGCACTGTCTCGCGTTTGCACCACTACTTTGCCTCGAGCAGTCGACTTACGGAAGATTGCCGAACTTCAGGATTCAGACGAGGAGATTGAAAAACTTCAACACTCAACCTCTCTGAAGATACAGCGTTTACCGCTCCTGAACAGTGAAGTGTCAATATTGTGCGACACCTCCACAGGCACACCCAGACCGGTTGTTCCTTTATCCTTGCGTAAGCATGTTTTTGATGCTTTGCACAATCTTTCACATCCTGGCATCCGTGCCACTGACAAACTCATATCTGCTAGGTTTGTTTGGCCTGGTATTAACCGTGATGTTCGAAACTGGACACGGTCATGTATTCAGTGCCAACGTTCCAAGGTGAATCGTCACAACATCCCACCACTTGGAACTTTCGCCAAACCGGACTCACGATTCGCTCATGTCCATTTAGACATTGTCGGCCCACTTCCACCCTCCGATGGATATAGTTACCTACTGACATGTGTCGATAGGTTTACTCGCTGGCCGTTAGCCATCCCATTGTCTAACATTACTGCCGAAACAGTAAGTCGGGTCTTCGTCGAAGGATGGGTTTCACAGTTTGGATGCCCTTCCACCGTGACAACCGACAGAGGCCAACAGTTCGAATCCGCTACCTTCCAGAAGCTGATGAATCTGTTGGGATGCAAACGCATCCGCACTACCGCATATCACCCAGCTTCCAATGGTTTGGTGGAGCGATTCCACCGACACCTTAAGAGCTCGCTAATGGCAGTGGACTGAGTCTCTGCCGGTGGTTCTTCTCAGCATTCGTTCTACACTCAAGACGGATATACAGTGTACACCTGCTGAGTTAGTTTACGGTAGTAACTTACGTTTGCCGGGTGACATGGTCGCTTCAGATAGTAGTGACCCAACTCCTACCGATATCCATGGCTATGTGCAAACTCTTAAGTTACACATGCGTCGCCTCCAACCCCATCCACACGATACAGTGTAGACGGGTGCAGTTGGATAAAAGACTGGAAGATTGCACGCACGTCTTTGTGCCTTGTGACGGTGTACGCAAACCTTTACAGCCACCATACGACGGACCTTTCAAGGTTCTCAGTAAGAAAAGTTTTTCGTCCCTGACAGATCTGGACTGCAGGATTCCATAAGTGTCGATCGTTTGAAGGCAGCTTATATAGAGGACGATCCACCTTCCTCTACACCGACACGACTAGAAAAACCCTTGCCGCCAGACTCCCAAACGGACTCGTCTAGTCGCGCATACCTTGAATCTTCTAAAAGAGCCACCTCTAGTAGCACTGATCCAGTACCCTCTATACGTGCTGAGAGGCGTGTACATTGGCCCAAGAGATACGCCGATTTCGTTAATTAGCCCCAGCGCAACTTCACGCTTGGTAAATTCGGAGTTCCGACTACTTTGTCGTGGCATGCGCTGTCAATGCGTCTTCATATCTAAAGTTTTCACAAGTTTTGTTCACTACTTTGAAAACAAGGTTTTTTCTTTTCTAAAACGAAAAAATCCAAAAATACAATTAAAATTTCAAAAACGTTTTTCTGTGGTTGGTTATTGTTATTATTTTTCCTGTACCCCCCCCCACTTCGA